CCTCCCCCCCATACCTTATCGTCCAATGCTCCCCGGCCCCACACGAAACCCCCCTCCACGGCCCCGCTGAATGGGCCGTACGTCCAGTTAGCCAGGGTCTCGTTCGCCACCGGTACGACATCAAGATGCGAGAGGAACAGCACCGGCAGCGACGACTGCGAATCCCCCCTGCCGCTGCTGCTGCTGCTGCTGCTGCCGCCATCGCCTTCCCACGTCAGCAGGAAGCTCAGGTTTCCGGAGCCCACCTGAACTCACACACGTGTGGGGGTTGAGAGGGCTTGGATGTAGCTCTACCACTAACCGCTCTCCCGGGTGGGGTGGTGGTGTGACGCGGCGTGACGTCATGCCAAGGTAAAAAGTCGAAGGAAGGAGAGATAAAAGAGGAGGGAAAAGGCGAGTTACGTTCGTGGGTTTGGGAGGGGAAGTTTCCCGCGTGGGTGGGACAAAACCCACAGCCGGTTAGGTGCCGGTTAGGTGCCGGTTAGGTGCCGGTTCACAAAAGGAGGGAGGGAGGGAGGGAGGGAGGAGAGAGGGGGAGGCTCGGGGCGGGTGGTGCAGGTCCTAGACGCGGCTGAGGCTGAACGTGTTTTGTGGAGGATTGGGGCCTGAGGGGAAGACCATGAACCCCGTGACGAGTGCAGCCGATGCCAAGGAGGATATAGACTGAGATACGCCGGAAGGGGGCGGAGGGGCGGAGGGAAGGAAGGAAGAGGGGCGGAGGAGAGGTAAGACGAACCACTGGCGAATCGATGAGTGGGGTAAAGACGAACCACAAACGAGTGAAGCTGCTGCCAGGGCAAGAGTGTACCAGACGTAGAATTGACCGAAAGGCTTCCGTGAAGGGTTTTAGGGTTTTAGGGTCTTGTTTTGTGGGGAGGGGGGGAGGAGGGGGAGGAAAGGATATAAGGCAGACAGGCAGGCAGGCAGGCAGCCGTGGATGGAGGAGGGAGGGAAAGAGGAAATACAGAGGAGGATGGACCCAAGGGAAAAGTGCGCCCCACACCCCACACCCCACACCCCACACCCCACACCCCACACTCCACACCCCACACCCCACACCCCACACCCCACACCCCACACCCCACACCCCACACCCCACACCCCACACCCCACACCCCACACCCCACACCCCACAACGAAACCCACATAAACCCACACGCACACACGCATATACGCGCACACGCCCACACGATCCACACCACGTTCGCTCTCACCTCCTCCACCTTCATGGCCTTCCACACCTCGGGATACGCGCCCGCGACCCACTCATGCAGCCTCCGGAACTCCCCCGGCTCCAACACGTGGTGCTGGACGGTCGGCGAGCTGACAGTACGGAACTGGAGAAGCTTCGAGAAGCTGCAGGATGAAGGAAAAAAGGTATTGGGGGAGGGTTAGGGCGGTTTTGGGCGGTTTGAAAACGGCCCGGGGACAAGGGCGATGTATGTGTGGTAAATCGCATAGGGAGTAATTGCATATTAAATAAAGAAATGTTAGAGGATTGTGGAGTTTCCCAGACGCTAAGTAGGTATCAATCCGCTGAGTGAGAGATGGGTGGGATTGGATGGGGTGGGGTGGGGTGGCGAGAGAGAGATGGAGGAGGAATGGGGAGGTGGAGGCGGGGCAAAAGGGGGGAATGTGACTGTTGGGGAAGGCGGGATAGGGAATTTTGCACACCGGTTCACTGCGGCAGAGGCCTCCTCCGCGGTCATGCAGGTCTGCTCCGAAAATATCTCCGGGTTTTCCGAAGCAGTTTGGGAAAATTTGTCATCCTCGAGCCCGATTCCGAACTGCTTGTCTTCCTCCTTGCGGGCTTTGGTGCTGCTGCTCGAGTAGCGTCGAGACGCGCCTCCATCATTTTTGGAGGCAGAAGGCAAGTCGCCGTTTATCCTTGCTTTTGTTCTTGGGTCAAATGAAAGGGTGTGAGATGCGGACAAGAGCCAAAAATGGACGACAGCCGAGACATGAAGCAGCCGAATCATTTTTGATATTCTTCCTTGGGCATCAAGTTACAGCTTTGAAGCTTTCGATATGGATTTAGGAGGAAACCCGTCTGCAACGTCCATGGCTGCTATGCATAAATGCGATATCGTCCCGGCAGGTGTTGCGATTTGGCGGTTAGCTGCTACCGTGAGCAGTCTCCGGAGCCTGAACGACTGTGCGGTAATTATGGTTAACTTTTTCTTGTGGCCAAGATTACTCAATATGCATTTGTATTTCGCACTTGCAGGAGAGCGAATACTGTATTGTATGTAACCAGCGACAGCTTTAACCCCACCGCTCGGTGCACAGGCTCGGCCAATCTCTGTGCATAATGGGAATGAGCTTGCACTTAAAAGTGCCGTTCCGCTTGCTGCGCGGCGCGGCTTTTGCAGCCCCTCTCCGGCCTCGCTTTTGCCGTTCCTGCTGCCGTTCCTGCTGCCGTTGCCCATTCATCTATGTAATCTTTGCAATGATGTCCTGCCCATTCATCTATGTAATCTTTGCAATGATGTCCTCCCATTTCCAAACTGCGGAAATATTTTATGAGCCGCCCTGCAACACTGCGCCTCTCCCAGAGTGCGCCTCTCCTCACCCACGCACCAGAGACAGGATACATTACCAGCGTCCATCTCTGGCCGCCCGTAAAACGGAAACAAGGACCTGATTCACCCCAAGCTGCGGCGCAGCCGCTCCGCCCTGCTGCCAATAAAGCTGTGCAAAAAAACTCTCCTCCCCCGCCCCTTCCTTCTTCACTTTCTCACAGTCCGGACAAAAACCAAATCCCAAAACTTCCAATCTAAAAATAGCCGGAAATCAAGGTGCGCGCAAGGGGCTCTTATCGCGAGCCTCTGAAATGCGAGCCCTGAAAACGTCTCCCTCTCTTTTATAAACCTTTCCAAAGCTCCCCCCCAAAATGAGAGACAAGAAGTACCCGCCCCATGTGCATGTTGGTGGCAGTGCTGAGAGGATGGACAAATCCAGGGAAGTCCAGGGAATTACCGGGATGCGAGTGACGACGGAGTCCGGAAACGCGCTCGTGAAGACCTCGTCAAGATTTGGCTGCCCCACGAACAGGCCCCCCGCCCCACGGCCACCACCACCGCCGGCCTCCAACTCCTCCCCCCCCCGCCGCCGCTGCCGGCGCCGCCGCTGCTGCTGATTTCCATCCCCCCTCGGCATCCTCAAGTGCGCCGTTACTGGCCCCTCCCCCTCTCCCTGTCGCCCCCGCCGCCGCCGCCGCCGCCGCCGCCATCTCGACGCTACTGCCACCACCACCGTCCTCCGCCGCTGCTGCTCCGTCCATCCGCGCCGCCGCCGTCGCCGCCGCCGCCGCTGCTGAATTCGCAGCGTTCACTTCCGCAACCGCCGCTGCCGCCGCCTCCGGCGATGACCCCTCCGCCAGCATCAGTCCGTACAGCTGTCGTACCTCGGCCCTGGCTCTATCCGCCGCCTCCCTGGCCTCCCGCTTTAGCTGCCGCTGATGTTCGTTGAACGACTCCTGGAGACCCCGGCAGGCGTGTTGCTCTGAGGGGTCCACCACCACCACCACCAGAGGGAGAGCCATTAGGTCGTATATATGTATGTATGTATATGAAGGGGGGGTAGGGTTCGGATTAGGATTATGCGTGGTGGGGCGGGGTCATACGCTGCAGAAATCCAAGGACTCTTCATCAGAGAGAGAGAGAGAGAGAGAGAGAGAGAGAGGGAGAGAGAGAGAGAAGGGGGGAAAGACGAACCACGAACGAGTGAAGCTGCTGCCAGGGAAAGAGTGTACCAGGGAAGGGGGGGAGGGAAGATAAAGACAGAGACATGAGGGAAGAAGTGTGAGAAGGCCACCACCACAGCCCCCTCCCTTTGCGCGCCTAGGCACGCACCTGGGCTCCCTATCTTTCAACAACCCCCCTTTTTTAGACGTAACAGACATGGGATGAGGTGAGGTGAGGGATGTACGGCACAGCGTGTACCGTAATGTTCGCATGTGCCGTACATGTACGGAACGTACCATACAGCCAGTCGCCCGCGGGAGCCAGGATGGCGGCCCAAGCCAGCGGTTGTACGGACTGCGTACGACAGGCGGACGGGAGGAAAGGAAGGAGCAGCAGCACAGGAGTTGGGAGTGTAGGACGGCGCCCCCGGGCGGCGAGTGTGAGGTAAAGGAGAAGAAAAGCAAAGAGAAGGGGGGAAATGGGAGTCCGAAATAATTAAGACAGTAAATGTAACGTGTGCAGGCAGTGTCGGTATAGGGTGCATTTGAAGTGCCATCGGAAGTGCCCCCCCGTAATTCGTTGGGCATCGTTGGGCATCTTATATATATGTATATATATGTATATATATGTATATATATGTATATGCACATATGTACATATATCCATATATCCATATATACATACATACATACACACACAGAGAGACGGCGCTACGGATGCACAAGGAAGGCCTAAACTACCCACGGCCATTGGTCCAAGCTGGGTGGGAACACCGGAGGTCAACCCAACCACCACCACCACCACCACCGCCACCACCATCCCCCGAAACCCTCACCCGCAAGGTGTAGCCGAGCGTCAGACCTAGCACTAGGCCCCCTGACAAGAGCGCGTTCGGCGGTGCAGGGTTGTCGTTGTCGTACGTGTGTCGCGAGACGAGGAAAGGACGTGGGTCGGGAGGGATGACGGGCGGAGAGTCGGGCGCGGGTGTTCAGGGGGAGGGAAGATGGGTTCTGCCAGGCGGCGCAGGTAGTGTTTAAAACTGTGATGGTGGCGTGGGTGAAAGGTGCTAAGAGTCCTCAGTGGGGAGCGATCAATTTTGATATCCTAAGAAAGGTTAATTCGGGTATATTTGAGCTGATAGCGGTTGAGAGAAAGGAAAGGGCTGCCTCTTGCCCAACTGGCAAGACATTTCAGCGCTGAGGTAGACCCGGGGACCCTCACCCGCATTTAGGCATTTCGAAGTCGCCACGCACCTCCCGTAAAGTACCAATTGTTTCGATTATAGCACCAGTTTAGCTCATATTCCAGTTGCCGGCTGCGCTCATCCTTCAAGCCCTTCGGGATGGCAGCACGAACAGCTTCCTGTTCTAGGCGTGCAAGAACCGGATTGCTGTTCCTAATATCAGAGCCCGACATGCTTTATTTTTTATCAAGGACTTTGGTCATCTATAAACAAAACACGAGACATCAATGTCTCAAACAGAGTTCGATACTGTTAAAATAATAAAAGAGCCTTTAAAAGGACGTCAAAGGCAGACCCACCTAAAAGCAGGTTAATTGTACCTTGCGCAGAGTAACGATCGCTGTCTTGGATTCAGCTCCAGAACGGGTTCTGGAGCCATAAATAGCCATCGCCCTATCGCCCTTTCCTCGAGTGACAAATGGAGTGACCTTAGTATTCATACGCGTAACAAACGATGTCTTAGGTCTATCTGCACAGGTTTACCGTGTACCCCTGTCAATCCCGCCTTCGACGAGAAAAGCAAGCTACGTCCAAAAATAGTTTCTTTCCTGGATTCTGCTTTCTCAGCTACTTGACAATTATAACACTATGGATGAGGTCTGGCGGCGTCTCATGGAAGGGCGCACCCCCCCCCGAAGAGATCTCGTGCCGGGTGACCGCGAGGGGGCCAGGTGTGAATTCGACCTTTGACCAGCTGAAACAATTCTCTTGCTGTAGTATCTGCTGCCCCGCAATCCTTAACTAAACCTCACCGCACCATTTCCTTACTGCAATTCGCAACCCACCATCACACAGGTTGTACGAGGAGTTTAAGGACTGCCTGGACCAGCACAAGCACCACGTCTTTTACGGTAAGTACAGTACTCCTACAGTGGAGTAAAGCATGGCCTGAGGATCGTCTGCCCTTAAACAAATGGCCCGGCCCTCCTATTCCCCTTACGCACCTACAGCCATCGGCGCCGTCACCATACCGTGGTCGTACATGACAAAAGTACGGTAGGGTGCCAGCAGGGCGAGGGGTGGTGTTGAATGTTCGTTTGGGGAGGCGGAGGCGGAAGCTGAGGAAAGCTGGGAATGGCAAGGAGAGCCCAAACACGGCTTGGCTGCGGGTGATATGATGTTCTTATGCGTCCTGTAATGGTGTGTGAAGTTTAGGAGTACTGTGGATACACAGTTGGGTCTGTGTGGCGGAGTTAAAGGAAGGAAATGAAGGGGAGTGGTGCTGAGTAGTGTCTTGTGATGTGGGACGTTGGATGCGAAAGTTCAGTGTATGTGTGGGTATGTGTGTATGTCTGCGTGTGTGTTTGCTGCAAGCGGGTCCTGGGCTCTTGTCCGAGGAATGTGGTGCCACACCATGAGCTGTGTTTTATCCCTCGTTTGTCCCCCTCCCCTCCCAACTTCCCTGCCTTCCCTCCCTACCCCTCCTTCCATTAATGGCGCGGGCGGGTGGGCCTTATGTACCTTTATCTCCCCCTCCCCCGCCCCCTTCCCCTCCCCCGCCTCGGAACATGATATCGCCAGAGTTTGGGGCCCTTCGTAATCGGCTCCATTGTGGGGTTCCTACCAGACCTGCTGTACGGTAAGCTCAGCAGGGCAGTCTTGTCGTACAACCATGTATGGCTCTTGTTCTCAACTTATCCACATTATATGTACCTTTCTATTTATTGCCATCTCTCCGTCCTGCTGCGGCGGCGTGTGTCCTATTTAGGTCACTTAAATGGGGCCTTACTGTGCCTAGCGGAGTTGTTTGCCTATTGTGTTTCTATGTTCTCCCCTCTTACGTAATTCCCCCTTTTATTCCCGCCGTCTTTTCTCTCGTCTTCCTCCCTCTCTCCCCCCTCACTCTCCCTGGAGCGACGGAATCATACGCGCTAGACTCTGTCTCCTTCCACCCGGCCCTCCGCGCCTTCCTCAGCTCACTTCAATTTTCCCTTGCGCCCTCTTTGCAGCCAACTGGCGATGTGACGACAAATTCCGAACCTTCCAGCAGCATTGCGACCAAGTTCAGCGAATTCTGGAACAACGGCGGCAACAGCTACAGCAGCAGCAGCAGCGGCAGCAGGAGTAATCGCATCTGGAGTGAAAGAGAAACCCCGAAGAAATAGGCCTACCAGTGCATTGGCGCGGACAATCGAGACTTGAGGCGTGTGTGTATGTGTGTATATATGTTCGTGTTTGAGTATGCATGTGGCCTAATGTCGCAGGCAGGTGTGTGTGTGTGTATTTGTGTACCGTACTGTTCATGTACGGATCTATATGTATTGCATCGGAGGAGGAGGCGCAGCGATCGGTATCAACATAGCAGCAGCGGCGGAAATAACCAAGAAGACGCGACAGCAACGTTGGGGGATGACTGCTGCTACTGCTGTACGACATGTTCCAGCAGAGTTGGTGGCGGCTGCAGCAGAAACGGCAGTAGCCATGAAGCCACAATTGGGAATTATTGCACCGGCAGAGCGGACGATTGACAACATCTCAAAATTAGAGCCTTCCCCGTTCTCTACAACAGGTACGAGGTGACCAAAAACACTATTTTTGGGGTCGTCGTATTGGACGAGATCTGCTCGGGACGTATCTATCTGACGACTTTGTGCGGGTTTGCTGTGCCTTCTGCGCGTGTGTGTGTGGGGGGGTGTAAAGGTTTTTTTTTGGAGTCTCGTCATCTGCTGTGGGAGCCCTGTGTGCCCTCCGAGGTGGCGAGGGGGTGGGGGACTGCTACAATTTTAGTTAACTAAAATTTGTGACTGGCTTCTCTCTGCCGCCCCTCTCAAGCGGGAGCGGCGACGACTGCAACCACCGACCTACCGACAACACCACGACGACAACATGTAGTAGTAGTAGTAGTAGTAGTAGTGGTGGCACGTAACAAGTCCGCGACTACAACAGCGCAACAAACAACCTCTTCATTACCCCTGCAACGAGAATTGTCGTCAACAAAAAGCACAACAGAAACAACAGAAACAGCAGCAGCAGCAGCAGCAGCTCCCAAGAGTAGTAGCAGGCGCATTGCTACCCCCTAGTGCTACTACTCTAAGGAGACCACTAAATGAGGCCGTACAGTATACGGCGTGGGCTCTTCAGTCTTCAGTCCGCTTTAATCCCTCCTCCGCGTCCATCCCCCTCCTCCCCAAACTACCTCCCCAAACTACCTCCCAACCAACCACCCCACCACCAACCATCAGCACCCCCCGGGAGGTCGTCTGTCCATCACTCTTTCTCTTCTTTCTCCTCCTCCTCATGCTCGTGCTCGTGCTCATCCTTCTTGTTGTGGCCGGGTCGGGGGTGCGAGGCCCCCACCGCCTTTTTCTGATTGGTGTCCAGATCGGCGAAAGGTTTACCGAACTTCCTAAGGGGGGTAGGGAGATGCCGAGGGGGCGGGAGGAGGTTGTTTGTTAGGGTTGTGTTATGTTGGCGGTTATGTCGGATTGATACCATTTATACCCCTAAGTTGAGGTGTTTGATGGGTCCGGGCGACCCCGGCGGTCCGCCTCTTATCCGTTGTTGTGGCTCTCTCGGGTGGTGGGCAGGTGGTGGTGGGTCACCTCGGAGGAATCTCGTGTGGAACACAGCCAGCCAGCACCCCTCCCCACTCAACCAAACTGAGTGAATCCTCTCTCTCTCCAACAACTCCTCGATCTGCCGATCGACACGAATTTTTGCAATATTTCCTCCTACCAAATTTCCTATATTATTCTTCCCTTATTCTTATCACTCTTCCAACCTCAGTTGGCCTCAGCCATGCATGCGTGCGGGTCTTGGGTGCTCCTCTCCAACCCTCTTCCCCTCAACCTGAAAAAGGCCCCCCCGTGCTGTTCCCTCGTGTGCGCTACCCCCTCTTCTCGACCCTCTCTACCCCCTCCCCTACCCTCTCCTCTATCCTCTGCCTCAGGCCTAATCTGAGTGTCGATCATTTCCAACAATCTGCGCTCCTCCGGCTCTTCTCTACTGGCTTCCAGCTCAGTTCCAAACGTCATCGCACCCCGACCAGATCACCTTCACCCCACTCCCTTGAGCTCAACTCGTGCGCGATGCGGTCCTTGTCCTCCTCGCTCATCGGGTGCAGTGACGTGTGGCCCCCGTGGGAGCTAACCGCGTGGTGAGCGGCGGTCTTGCCGACCATGGTGATGATAGGATGGTGACGTTGTTGATAGGCGGAGGTTGAGGGGTTGAGAGGATTTGGCAACCCTATTGAACTTGATCAGTATCTTGATATGTTTATGTATGTAGGCGTAAAGATGACGACGACACGGAAGAGATATCGGGGGGCAGGTCCGCTGTGAGAGAGGTTAGGGGGACAGCAGCAGAAGCAGCAGCAGTAGAAGTTGCAAAAAGATGTTTGCTTGCCTCGTGGACCGTGTCGGGCCTTCTCTGTATTCCTGCGCGGCAAATCGGGCTTGTAGGACGGCCTTCGTAGAGGCGATTGTGTTTTAACGAAAGCTGTGTCTTTTCCTTTGTTCAATGTGTACGTGCGCGAGGGAGAGGAAAAGAGAAAGAACCGAGAGTCTTACGTTTTCCGAGCTAAAGCTCTCTCGACCTGATTTGTTTCCCTCCTCTGTCCGTAGACTGTACAAAATTGTGTGACGTGAAAATTTAAGAGCGAGCTTGATTCGCGTTGATCGATTTTTTGCTTGATGGATGCGCAGGACGAATGGACGTGCATTTTAAAGTGCGATGCGGAATACACAAAAGGGAGCTGCTTATGGTGACGTCTCTCGTGGATCCGATGACGAGGACGGGACAAGGACATGTGCCGCGACAGAAAGGAAGTCAATCACCCCACACGCGCGCTCTGGCACACAAACATTCGATTGTCTGATTGATTACCTGAAGTAGATGTTGTCTTGGATAACAATCGAAGCGCAGTGACCCCGCCTAGGGTCGTCCTGTCTGCGACATGGGCTGCGTTGTTAGGGTGGGTTGGTCCCGGTGACGGTGGCCTCTACGGGCGTTGATTTTGGGGTTGGAACGTGAAGTTGCTGACTTTTTATTCCTTGTCTTCCCTTCATATAAACATATTTGATTGTCGATAAAACAAACACCTGACGTTCTATACAAAAGTTCCGATACTAGCTGCGAGTGACACACACACACACACACAACCCGAGTGTTTAAATAGACTGCATCCGTGTGTGCACATGTGTGCGTGTACACACGCATACACCGTCGATGCCGTCTGCCTCACACGTTCCGCCAAGTACTCTCACGCCAACCAGCGAGACAACGCCCCCAAAAAGAAAAGATCACCCAAGCAACGAGAACAATACTGGCCAGTATACCCCAAAATCACCAACGCCGACCACAGCATCAACCTCCTCACACAACGACGCCTTCCTCTCCACCGCCACCGCCATTGGTATCCCTCAAAAAGAAGTCCAATGTCCCCCGCAAACACCCCGCCAGCCACGTCGCAGTCTCCCGACGGGCCGTGGGGGGAACCATGAGATAAACCACCTGCCCGAGCGGCCGGGCATAAATGCCGTACACATCACGGAGTCGCCGTACTACCTGTATGGGACCCACGCCGCTGGCGTGGTAGCCGCCGCCGCCGCCGCCGCTTTGAGTAGCAAGCTCCACTGCTAGCACCGTCCCCACGGCGGCGACGCGGGTAACGAGTGGATGGTGAGACAACTCCGAAACCGTGTGTTGCTCGTCCCAGAACGGCAGCAGTCGGCCGCACGGTGTGTCACAGACGGGGCTCTTTGGGCAGCGGCCGGGAGCGCAAATGTTGGGGTTGGTTTCGGGGCGAGACAGGAGCTCCAGGGAGGCAACCGCGGCGGCGCAGCCGATGGGGTAGGCGGTGTACGAATGGCCATGCAACAGGGCAAAGAGCTGCCGTAGCCACAATGACGCCGCAGCCGTAAGGAACCAAAAGTACGTAGGACAGCGAGCCGAGGAATGTACGGCGCCGCCGAACGAACGTACGACAGACAAGGGAAACGTAGGCGGGAAAGGGCGGAGGGGAGAACGGCGGTAAAAGAACATTTGTTTACGGTTTCAAGCGAAAGAGTTGGTGCCATGTAGCGGATGGCATGGATAGATTCCCACACGTCGACGTAAAGGTTGTGTGTCAAGGTGTGAATTCTGTCATTCCCCAATAACATGCAGCTAGAGAGCCACTGAGGTTTTAGGGTTTTAGGGTTTTTCACGTGTCATGGTGTATAGGGCTGAGGGGGAGAGGAAGGGATGCACCCATCCCAACCCCGAATGGACGGGAGGTCGGGGCCTTCAGAGCACCCGGCCTCCTACAGGGCCTCCTCCATCCGCGGACGCTGCAGCGCCACCCCAAGGCAGATGTGACTGTCAGATCTCGAATGATCTCGTCACATTGCATCACGACCCCTCCGTCACAGTTCTTATAGACATCTTTACATCATATCTATATCTAGATCTAGATCTAGATATAGATATATCTTTACATTTACATTTGACAGCAATACAAAATAAATCACCTCAATTTTCCACATGCCGTGCGGTTATCCGGAGCCCATGCCTGACCTAATCCTTCGCACCTTGCTGGGCCCGCTGAATGCCTCGAACACTTCCCGCGTCGCTAGCGTGGCCGCCATCGGTACGGCACCGCCCGTCAGCAGCTTGCCGTAACAGGCTATATCCGGCGTAACGCCTAGCGTGGCGGCGGCGGTGAGGGAGCCCAGGCGGTACAGCCCGGTGAACACCTCATCCAACACCAGCGGCAGCCGACGGCGGCGGCACACCGCCGCGACGGCGCGCTGGAACCCTGGCTCAACCACCAACATGCCCCCGGCGCCCTGAAGCAGCGGCTCCATGACGCATGCGGCCAGTCGGCTAGGCGCGACGGCGGCGCCGCCAGCGGCAGCGGCAGCGGCAGCGGCAGCGGCGGCCTCGAACTCATCGATCGCTGACTCGATGTAGGTGCGGTACGCCGCCGACAGCGGCTCGCTGGCGCCGGCGGCGCCGCCGTCACCAGTACTACTGCTGTACGACAGAATTTCATCCAGGGAGGCCCACGTGGGCAGCTGCTCGCCCTTGGAATGGAGGCGGGTCAGCCAGACGGGGGGATCCAGGATCCGCCAGCGGCCCTGGACGAGCGGTATCATTAGTGCCGTAAATGCCGGGTACCAGTGCACGGGAGTCAAAAAAAGGTGAACACATAAATGAAGACGTGCGGCAAGAATGAGAGCCGCACCACCACCATCATTATCACCATCACCATCACCATCATCATGGGCAGCTTGATCTGTCCCGTCCGTCAATCAATCAATCAAGTAATCCGTATCGGTTTATGGTTGCTCAAAAAAGCCCACAATGACACGACACGCCAAGCCACCTCAAGACCCACCGAGCCCACCCGTCGCGAGCCGTCCCCGCTTTAACGCCGCTTTTGGTAAGCACACGGCTCCTGAGTGGAAATGCCCCCAGAAGCCCCCACTCCACCACCTTTAAAGAAACCCATCTTGGTCGCCCCACACGGCCCCTGCTGCCTGTTGCAAAACGCCCAACCGTCAACCAACCGTCAACTAACTTACCTGCCGCATGCCAACGTACGGCGGCTCCAGAAACAGCCCTCGGCCCCGGTACCACGGGGACTGCAAGGGCCCGTTGAAGACTGAAGGAGCAACACAGTCTTGCGCGCCTAGGGTATCCCCGTGGTAGGCCCCCTGGAGCCCAAGAACCATCAGCTCGCCGCCGCCGCCGCCGCCGCCGCCGCCGCCGCTGCCGCCGCCATCGTGGTCGCTGTTCCTGTCGCCGCCGTTGTGACTGCGGCTGCCGTCATTGCCACTGCCGTACAGCTGCAGCTCGCCACGGTCTGCTAAGAATTTTCGGAAAGCCATCTTGAGTGCCACTTCCACTGCCGTACTGCCGTCGTCGGAAAAGAACACGCGATCGGCCCAGCCGGCGCCGGGGCCAGCCAGCAGCGCCGCCGCCGCGCGGAGCGCCGGCTCGTGGGCCACCTCCGCAAACAACACGTGTAAGTAGCGGCCCGCTGCGTACGACACCGCGCGCGCGATTTCCGGCTGCAGCGCCGGCGTCGCCGCTTGTGTCCACCAGCTTCCGCTGGCGTCGTACAACGTGACGAGCGCCGGCGGCGGCAGCGCCGCCGCCGCAGCTGACGCCGTCGTTATCGTCGGCGGGGGCGACGGCGCTAGAGCCGTCCAAGTCTCGCCGCAACGGCCGTCGACGATGGTGGCCGACCCCTGGGTCAGTCCTGCATGCTGCGTGAAGGGCCACCACAGCTGCGTTTCCGCAGCGGCACGGCTCGCCAGCAGCGCCGTCAGCCGCCGCTGGTGGCGTTGAAACAGCGCCGCCAGCAGTTCCGAAAACGCCGGCAGGGAATCCACCAGCCAGTTACGAAGGTGCGGATCCAGGCCTTGGGACCGCACATCGTGGCCCTGACGGCGGCGGCGGCGGCGGGGACGGCGACGGGGACGGGGTGGTGGTGCGATCATCCGAGGATTCGAGATGTCGTTGTGGGAGATATGCTCGCGAGATAACCGGGTTTCCGTAACAGAGGTATCAGAATGGCGCATGAGTGAATGATGGCAAGAGTGAATGTGAAAAATATTTAGACAGGCGTTCCGTACATCAAGGGGAGGGGAATAGGTACGGAGGGTGCAAAACGGGTTAGGAAAGTTGACGTCGTGGAAGCTTCATTCACGTGGTTTTGGGGGTGTTGGGTCGTGGAGGTGTGCTAGGAGGTCCACATGCGCAGATGCCGTCGCTGGGAGGGAAGTGTGAAGTGTGAAGTGTGAAGAGAAAGGTGTCCTCCACCTTTTGACGGAAGAGCTGAGGGGGGAACAGAAGACGACACAGAAAAAAAAGGTAACGGTACTTGTAAACACTTGTGCCTGCCTTCCATTGCCGTACCTGCGGCGGCGGCAGTGGACATGCTGGCACGCCCGCCACAACCGGCGGCGGCGCCCCCAGCCGGTGTACGGCGCCAGCGGCGACGCCGTCGACTTTGAAGTACTCTCGAAGGAAGGTTAAGTTGTCCAACGGCACGGCGCCGCCGCCGCCGCTGTCGCCGCTGTCGCTGCCAACCCTGCTTCCATCGCCGTCCGCCGCGACCTGCCGTAACGTCCACACCGATTCCGCCAAACACCTTCATCCTGGCATCCGCTACTGCTTAGCGGCGCTCAGCTGCGCCCCTAGCACTGTGCGGACCTTAACATGACTGGTACATGACTGGTACATGGCACTGTGAATCAGAGTTAGTTCTTCCCCCCCCAACCCACCAGCCCCCAACCCCCGCATACACACTGTACAGGGGACGTTACCTTCGAAGCTGAAACCCCAACCTGCATAAGCACCTTTTGTACGGCATGTTGGCCAACCAGTACTACAGCCTCCACGTCCCAGCCCCGGGCCACCAAGCTGTCGTACGACGACAACGTGGCGGAGATACCGCCTAGGCGGGCATCTCCGACAAGTACGGCAGGCAGGTGCCGTAGCGGCCGCAGTACATCAACCTGCGGGTGTCGTACCAATGACGGCGGACAACAAACGAAACGAACAAAACGAAGTGAAAGGGAGAGAGAGAGAGAAAAAAAGAGATAACTCGCTTTCTTTTCTTTGTAACGCACACGTACGGCACAAAACGCGAGAAAGTTAAGTGACGTTTTCCGTACACGCACCGTCAATCGCCCTGATGGTGCCGGGCTAGTTACACCCCCCGCCGTCTCAAGCAGCAGCAGCGCGCCGTTGCCGTTGGCTGTAGCAAACCCGGCCCCATCCTCCTCCGCCGCCGCCGCCGCCGCCGCATCAGCACCAGCAGTAGCAACAGCAACAGCCGTACCGTCAGACACGGCCGCTGACGCCGGCGCCGACGTGGCCGCCATCTCCCCCCCTGCAGCTGTCAATGATCGTCGCCGTCGTCGCGTCAACAACAACTCCTCGATTTCTTGCCGTACATGTCCGTCAGTGTCCGCCACCAGCTGATCGTCACCGACCCCGCGACCTGCGGTGCATCGGAGGAAGCGGGGGCATCGAAACACATCGCCTCAGCCAGGGCAATGTCTCAACTGAACCAACGGTCAGCGCGCCATTATCACGTCATTGACATCCTCGCATCCGACACTATTCGACATTCAGTGCTTGCGTGTGTTTGCGCGCGCATTTGTATGTGTATTATGAGAGTGTTGGGGGGTGGAAATGGTCACATATCCTTAAAATAAAAAGGTCTATAGAGGTCACCGGTGGTGCCCAGGCCGAGGTGCACTTCCTCTAAAGAACCACCACACGGCCTTGGCGGGCTTTCCCCTAGCTACTTGTTGCCCCTAGGACTGTTTTCCGCCTAGGGGAGGACAACCACTCGTCGCTGGGCGCTCTTTCTTTTTACCACTCTAATTTGCTTTTTCACCAGCAGTCTTAACTTGCTTATTCTCTCAGCAGTCAACTTTTGTGTTTTCTCTTACAACTCCAAACCCCGAGGGACGGGGACGGGGACGGGAACAAGAAGAACCCAAGGAAATGGTCATCAACATCTCTCAAATTCTTTCCTCTTCAAGACGGACATGGAAAGTACGGCATGGAAGGCACGGCATAGAATGCCCGAAACAGGTGGCAAATATGCCGTACAGCGGGGCTTTACGGCCGTAACCCGGCCCCGGCCGAAGACTTTCCCACCTCGCCAGTGGGTTACAATTCCCCCCCACCCCGCCTGCACCCCCCGGGTCGCTTTGGATGCCAGACAGCTTACCACGGGTTGTCGTGTCGTAATGCACACACACGCACATACATACATACTTACATATATCTGTCTGGTCTGGTGGCACCTTTGTGCATATGAAAGTTCTGGGTTCGATTCCTGGTCAGACCCCCGACATAGTTCGGGAGGTCTAGGTTTACTAACGCTGCTTAGGGGTGGAGATGAGGTCTAGTTGATGGACTAAGTTTCGCATGCTGAGATGGTGGTAATGGCTGATGGCTGTCTCTACGGATGCCGGGTGACTGGATGAGGAGGGATTTAGTTGGCAGGACCCAAACCGCCGTCGGTTGTACGGCGTAATCAACTTTCAATACATATAGTCCATGGCCTCCCGGCTTTGACGGACCCCCCCCCCACTCGTGCGGCACTTGTAACTTGTAAACACACCTTTCCAGCCTTGTCTATGTTTGTTTGGCGCGTGTGTGCGCGTGGTGCGTCTCTGTTTTGATCATACGAGCCGCGGGGGTGTACCTACGAATGCACATACATACATACATACTTACGCACATGACCGGCCGGCGGGGAAAATGTTTCCCAAATAGGAAACCCCCGGCCCCTCAGTGTACGGACGCACCTTCCAACCTCACCGCCAGATGGGGACTAACGGCGTGGCGCCAAGCAAACAATGTCGTACAGCGGGATTGGGCGCCGGCGGCGGCGGCGGCAGCGCCCTTGGCACCCGCCAGCGCTGCCGTCGCGGCGGCATGAGGCCCAGTGTCTAGCACCCCACCGCAGGCCAAGGCCTGACACCGGTGTACGACAACACAGGAGGGCCGTACGACAGACAGGCAGGCTGTGTGGTTCACCACCATCCAATGCAGAGCCGAAATAAAGTTAGCACGTTGAATTGGAGCACACACGTGAATGAACATATGATGCAGGACGTCGCACGTGACGGCCTGGTCAGTACGGCGCTGTGGCGCCGTTAAAAGAGAGAGGCAACTGTGAGCGCTCAGGAAGGCAAAAATGAGGGCCGACAAAACCCTAGGACATCTGCTCTGCTTCACCCGTACAATCCACGCAGGTACGAGCCTGGGACACGTCCTGACCCACATCCTCTGGAGGAGCTCACAGCCCTAACCCACTACACAATACATGGGCACTCGTTACACCTTTACCTAGGTAACGCAACCGAGGTGTAAAACACACACAACACATACATACACACGCTTACTCAACACAGTGGTACTACTGCTATTGTATAATCATTATTTATACTTATCATTATCATTATTTATTATAGTTTATTATTATATTATATTATATTATTATTATCAATAGTTATTATTATTATTTATTATTTAATAGTCATCATCATCATCATCATTGGTACTGTGGTTCAAATGGGTTGGTACCATGGCCTCTTACCACAAGTCGGGCATCGCAGTCCTCGGGGAATCCCGTCTGGACGGGTTTTACGTACGACAAGGATATCTGTACGGCAGTGCACGACAAAACGCGGTCTGCTGATGTGGTGGCTCATGTGGTGGCGTTGGGTGGCAGTACTCTAGCGTCCAGAGAAGACGCTGTAGAGCGCTCTCAGAATGCCGTATTGTGCTGTGCTGTGCTGTGTTGTGCTGTGTTGTGCTGTGCTGTGGTGTGCTGTGCTGCATTATGCTGTGTTATGCTGTGATGATTGAAGGAAAGGTTTAGGTTGATCCGGATTGGCATCATGGCATTGAGCCGCGAAGCGAAGGCAAGCTAATAAAGACAGAGATGGCAAACATGAGATTCTCTATGTCTGTACAATCTTTTTCAAACCGTCATATTTGGCGCCAAATATGACGTGAGAATCATGGCCTCTGAATCATGGCTGGCCAAACCCCTGAACTCCTGAAAATGAAGAATGCCGTGATCTGGCTGCTTGCGTCCTTCCCGACCCGACCCAAATCGTCAAGACTCTACGTGAGGAGATTCTTTGGTCAAATTCCCCCGACATGGGTAAAAATTGGAGACGCACCCTATGGGCCGCGGCTGCGTAGGCCAGGCCGACGCTGACCAACGTCTTTCCGACGTTAGTATTGGCGCCCCAGACGCTGAAAGCAGGCACGCCGAGCAGCAGCCGCGTCCCCGCGTGCGGTTCTGGTGGCGGGGTAGATCTGTCATCCTGGTGGGCCGCCTGTGAGGGCCTTGGGGAGGAAAATTGGCGCTGCCCAGCTCCGAAGGACGCCAAGCGACGCGAAGAAAAAGTTGTGAAGGTTGCGAGATGGCCGCGGCTGGTCAACAGCAAGAGAATTTGGCGCTCTTGGACCATGTAAGCCGTAGTTAAAGCGTGCTAGGAGGACCACCGATGGCTTCAGCCTGACATTGATGTTTGAAGATCGAGCCGCACCGTCGCGTGACTTCTCCTAATCGGGTAATCCATAACTTCGGATGTTGCTCCAGGGAACTGGTTAGTTAGCCGGGGATTGCGCCTGGCGCATGTGCGGGAATTAACGTACGTCACGGCGGAAGTTGACGCGATGACGCTGGTGAGTGATATCCAATGGATACAACAAAGATACTGTGTACAATCCGTAAACCGCTGTTATACTAATTGCACAAGCCCTGATTCCTCGCTCTTTTCACTTGGTTACGCGAGTCTGAGACCTTGATATATCATGCCATGGAGCTTCAGACCCGCGCCTGGGGCCTCCTCCTGCTGCTAGCTGGCACAGCGTTATGCTGATGCCCTTTGTGATAGGATAGCTCGCGTTAGCTGGCAAGGATGGGCCAGGCAAACTCGAGGCAGGCGACACACATTGAGAGGGGCTATTGTCTTGACTTTCCTAAGCGTCTGTCGAACCAGTCGCCTCCCTCGGTGCACACGCGCATAGAGAATACGTTCTTGGCTGGCGTCAAACTGAGCTGGCTAGTTACCCAGCTTGTTGCCTCGTTGAATGGAGACTATGGGTCGCCTGTCAGGAGGGTCATGGAGGATTTTATTCTGCCGTTATCCTTTGTTGAATATCCTTCGGACGTAGAATCCTTTGGTCCGGCAACACTTGTCGTCCTGGTGCATCCTTCAACGCCCTGGAGCGTTTTTATAAAGGCCATGTTGAACCACATAGGCATGGATCTCAGAAAGGCGCTTCTAACTGGGGATGCGCCGCTGTCCCCACGGTAAGTTTCTCATGTGGGGAGCGACCTGTTTCTGGCCCCCAATAAAGTGCACCGGCCGATCATCACGCTTCTTAGGTCCTGTTAGGTTTACGGGACGTGGAAATCAAGCTCATATGAACGGGCCAATACACTTTATGCGGAGTCATTACAGTTCTCAGATGCCTTTTGCTCGTCATTCGGCCTGGAATTGTTTTGCGTGGTGGCTTTCGTGCCGCCGCAGACGTGGCGTCATTCGCTGCGTCGGTGGCTGCTTTTCTATACAGTGTATCCTTCCACGTTATGGCATCGTTTCAGCACATGTTCTAGGGTTAATGCTTTATTTGACTCCTTTGCTTCTGAATGTTCCTCGCCAGAAAGCGAACCCTTTGAGGAGCGCAGGTCTCAAGCTTTGCTTATCCCTGGCTGGCTGCCTTCAGGTCGCCGCTTGCTCCAACCGGCCCATCCGCTGGTTGCCATTGCCTGCACGCTGGAGCCTGTGCGACGAAACGTACCGAAGCTGAGCCCTGTATCTGTGATGGAACCTGTACAGGCAGCGCTGACCATTTGTACCATTCCACTTACCTTCACATCGACTTCCTGGCGCACACCCTCAGCAACGTCAGCAACGCCCCCGTATCCCTCCCAGCCTTTCCCACGGAGGGCTCAGTTCGTCCGACCTCAGACGAGTCCGCACCCTTTGCCAACTCTGGCGACAGTGCCGAGCGTGCCCTCCGTCGCATGGCCGGCGAACCTGCAGCACTAATTGTCGTAGACCCCGCTGGCGCTATTTTTACCGACCCACGGGCCGTTCGCTCGATCGCAGCGGCCATTTCTGCCCTACATCAGTGCACAAATGCCAAGGACCCTCAGGAAGAACGCCAGGATGAGCAGCTGGTGCCTGCCGCCGCTGGCGGCGACTGCGGCGCAACCGCCCCAGCTGCAGGCTCTCAGCCGTTGCGCCTCCAACTCGCCTCCGCACTGGACGGTGCCGATTGGGCACCTGTAATAGCAGCCTTTGGCCGAGCAGCTGGGCTGCTGCCGGACGATCCGGCGGCGGCGCGGATTGTCTGTGAGACGATCCTGGAGTCGGCGCAGCATCAGCACAACGCCCTTGTGCCCCTGCTTCATGCCTTTTGCAGCCGTGCTAGCTTCTCACTTGAGGCCGAATGCGGGTGCTGTGTCGCTGTTGGCAGCGTTGGCCCCGTCGTTGTCGTACCGACAGCCGCTGATGTTACCATGAACGACGGCGTCGGCGGCGTCGGCGTCGGAGTTGGTGACTGTTTGCCGCCAGTTCAGCGGCACGTGCTGCCGGGGCAGATTGAGACAGCGGAGAATCTGGCCATGGCCGGAGGCAGCGGCGATGAGGATTCGATCAACGGGGATGCGGATGGCGTGGGCGGTCGGGGGCACGGGCCAGACAGTCAGAGTGGTATCACCAGGTTCGCACGTGACTTGTTTCGGGGGGGCGTGCTGCCGCCCACATCGCCGCCGCCGGCGGTGCCGCCCGGCGATGCCGACGCGCTTTACCTTGCCCGCCGGTCGCGTTCGCTGACGGAGAGCGCCATCACAGTCTCCACCGCCTCCGCTCGCCAGAAGCGGTTGCCTGGCCGAAGCTCCAGCTCCGCACTTGCCGGGGCTGCGCCCCCGATGATGCCGTCGGCGGCGTCTGGCGGCGGGAGAGGCGGTGCCGATGACGGCGCCCCGATCAGCGGCGTCTGCTCCTCATCACTGCAGCCAGGCTCCGGCGCTTCGGCGCCCGCGCCGTACAGCATGCGTGGCGGTGGCGCCCTCAGCGCCGCGAGCTTTCGGGTCCCAATCACCAGCGGCATCATCGCCTCGAGTGCCGCCGCAGCCGGATGCCTAAGCAACACCAACACAGCCGCCGCAGCTGAAGCGCGGCAGGGCTCCACGTGCAGCTACATGCACTACGCATCCGCCATGGCGTCGGTCGCCTCTTCAACGGCTGGATGTTTAGGAAGCAGCAGCCACCTGCTGCCATTTGCGGTGGAGGCCGCGCGGCGATACGCGGCACTGCTGGAGGCTGTTGGGCTGTGGGCCACCGCGAGTGGCGTGTTGGAGGCGTGCCTGTGCTCGGTTGGCGAGTGCTGGGGCCATCGCTCCAGTCGCATGGCGGCGCTGTTGACGCAGCTAGGCCGTCTGCAGCAAATGCAAGGGCTATATCGGAGTGCGGAGGTTACGTGGCGGCAGGTAAGGCGGGTTTGCAGGGGAATTGCGCGTGTGTGTGTGTGTGTGTGTGCGTGTACAGCGCTGGAGACGGATATGGCAGCGGGCAGGAGGGGCTATGTATGATGCGACATGTGGTAGCCATAGCGCTCGGCCTGTTGTTGTGTGAAGGGAGAAAAAAAGGAAAGGAGAACGGGTCGGAATGCTCAAGCAGCAAGGATGGCTGGTGCGAAGGGCTTGCTGGGATGTTAAGAAGGATGCTTTGAGTGGAAGCAAAATTGCGGCGATTGCGGGCAGCGTTAGCGATGTGGGGAGTTGCAGGACTGGAGAGTTAGGGGAGCTACGAGCGTAACTGCTTTGCTACAAGAGCTCTCGCACGCAATGGGGGACTTGATGTCCGGAGGGCTCCCCCACGCGGAATCTGTTTCCAGTCCTCAGGATACTGCCAAGCTGTTGACCTCTTGCGCGGTCGCGATCCACTGGCTTTTCCTTTCCTCGTCCTCGTCTCAACACTCGTTGCGGTTCGGCTGATTTATTGTTGTTGTTGCTGGCGCCAGGCTTTGGAGGCCTTGGAGAGCGTCTACGGCCCCGATGGTGTGCCAGTACTCCAGTGCCGTGTAGCGCTGGCGCAGGTCCTTGCGGCGCTGGGAGAGCAGGAGGCGGAAACCATGATGCGCGGCGCGCTGGCGGCGTTGGATGCCGCGTTAGGACCTACTGCGTCGGAGACGCTGGAGGCGCGGGCGGCAGTGGGGAGCTATCTGACCCAGAACGGCCGCTGGTCCGAGGCGGAGGTGGAGTACCAAGCGCTGCTGCAGACGATGGAGGACGCGCCTCCACCGCCCCCGCCGCCGCCGTTGCCGCTGCCGCAGCATCAGGAGACGCTGCAACAGCAGCACGGAGCGTCGGAGATCTTATCAACGACTGTGGAAAGAGCAGCGGTGGCGGGGGGGGTTCCGTCGGCGCGGGGGCTGCGGCAGGGCTGCGGTAGTGGCGGCGGCAGCGGCGGCGCGGTATCGTCCCCGCAGCACCGCGGCGTGTCGCGAGCGCTGACGACGACGCAGCAACAGCAGCAGCAGCTCCTTTCCGGGCCGGGCTTGGGCCTGAGTCCGGGGCCGACGGAAGGGCCGAACAGCAGCAGCGCCGTTCCGTCGTCAGCGGCGGCGAGGCCGGCGTTGAAAAAGTCGGATTCGCGTTGTCGAACGGCCTGGGGATCCTATCCCGAAGCAATGGGAGCGGCCGCTCCCAACGCCGCCGCCTCAGCGTCGTCCGCTGATACTGCAGGTATTGCATCACTTATGATGCCGTACAGTCCTGGTTACGGAGCTCGTGCTACCGGCGCATCCGGTGTGAGCGTGACATTCCACCGCCAGGTTTTGCCCCCGCTGTCGTCTTCGGCGGATAATATCCCATCCGCCACGTACCCAATCACTCTCCCGCTGTCGGGGGTTCTCGCAGGCCCCCCTCCCGGGCTGCCGCTGCTGCCGCCGCTAGGCGGCTACAACGGCGGCAGCGTCACGACGGCCGCCGTGGAGGCCTCGCCGTTGAGCAGTTCTGTTGCCGGCGGCGGCGGCGGTGGCGGTGGTGGCCACAGTGGCCTAGGACCCGGATGCGCTGAACCAGTGGCTTGGAGCGCTGCGGCCGCCACGTTGGCCGACGTCGTTGCTGCCATACACCGCGAGTACGGCGGCATTAACGAGCTGTACGAGGGTATGCATTTGGCGGGTCCGGAGGGTTCTACAGCAGCGGACCTCGCCGCGCTGGCGGCGGTTTGTCCGCGGAGCGGTGCTTGCATCGCCGCCGTCGTCAATGTACGGCGCCTGACGGACGCAGCCGCACTGTACGATGCAGCGCTAGCGACGCGGCGTGCTGTACTCAGCGCTGCACACCCTGTAATGATAGACCTGCAGCTGCAGTACGCCAGGTATCTCAGTTCGGCTGGGGAGTACGGCCGCGCCGAAACCGTCTGTCGTGTTGCTCTAGAACAGCTCATGTTCAAACCGCCGCCTGGTCCACCTCTGTGGCGGCAAGGAGCTGGTTCCGAATCCGCCGACGGTGATAGCGCCGGCGGCGGCGATGGCAGGGTCGGCCGCCACCCAGCGGAAGTCCGCGTACGTCAAACGCTAGGTGTCGTACTGGCAGCGGCGGGCTCGCTTGCCGCTGCCACGGCGCAGCTGACCGCCGCTGTGGATCTCGCGGAGAAGCTCGTGGCGACTGGCGACATGGCGCCGGCTGACGCGCGCCGCATCGAGGCACTTGACAGTCTTTCTGAAGTGCTGTGGCAGCGCGCGCAGTCTACACACGCCGCCGCTGCAGCGGAGGCGCCGCCGCCGGCGTCGTCGTCGTCGTCGTCAATAATGCAGGCGGGCTCGGCGCCATTCGCCTCCCGCGCCGTGGAGTGCAAGCGCCAGGCGCTCGGGCTGACGGCGGCGGTGCGCAGCGAGCGGCACGAAAGTGTGATGAAGGGCTGGGTAGCCCTGGGTCAGATGTTGGAGGCGGCGGGTGACCTGGCGGCGGCGGAGCGTGCGTACGAATGCGCGGCGGAAGTGGCGCTCCACCGTCACAGCCGTCTGTCCGCGGCCACCAAGGCCATCTTCCGCCAGCTCCAGCGGGTCTATCAGGCGCAAGGCCGCACCGCAGATGCCCATGTACTGGGGCACATGTACCGGCTCAAGGGGGGGCTGCTGTCGGCGGCGCCGCCTCCCCCGGCCGCGCCCGTACAAGCCCAAGCGTGAAACCCATCGAGCGGGCCCGTGGCGGCCGCGGGGCCATTTTCCGCGACTGCTGGGACGGAACCGATCTGTGCTTGGGGGAAGGGTTCTGGGTGTTCACCCGGACATACATACATACATACTTCCATACATACATACATACGGTCCGATGAAGGCGGACCGATCACGGGGGCGACTGACACGTGGGGTGTGAGGTGTCCGTGTATTGGCCTGGGCGGCCGCCGCTTAGGCCGGGCTTTGTGGAGAGCGGGACGCGGCTGTTTTATAACGATGCACACCGGCTCCCTCCTCCAGGCTTGCGGCTCCAGGCGGCTCCAGGCTTGGGTTTGGCCAGCTGGCTTGACGGCGAGGTGATGCAGCAGCAGCAGGAGAAACGTTCGCAGACGTACTTTTCCACGCACGCATTCCTTTTGTAGGCGGGGGATGGCGCGGGATGGCGCACTCCACGTCCAGATGGCCGAGCTTATGTTGAGCGGCTGATGTGGTGATGGGGGGAGAGCAAGGGCGGGAGCAAGAGGAAGAGAAAGGGAGGAAAGGATACAGCAAGGGGGGAAGAGGGGGTTGGCCGAGGAGGAGGGGGGTTCGTCGCGATAGAAGCAATGTGCGGGTTTTCCAGCAATGCATCAATCAAACCTAGCGGCATCATGCAGCCGGGGGGGGGGCATCCCGTCCCCAGCAGCCCTGCACGCCCCTACCTAGGGGAAGAGGGTTTTAGCTGTACTGCGCTGCAGCAATGCGGGCACGTCAGCGTTACCGCTCTTCCGGCCGCCCTTTTGACCGCTCTCGCGTCTTCGTCCTGTTTCTCGGCCTGGTAAAGGAAAAAGGGAATGGAAACCCTCAGTAGCCCGAGGTTTGCAGCAAACCGCCGTGTCGCTTCCTAACATGCAGGTCTGTGCAGCGAGGAGAAGAAATATATAGAAGACAAAAGAAGAGACACACGCACACACACAGATGAACAGAGGTACACGCACTGACGAGTAGAAGCACCGAAGCAGGCGGCCAGGAGGCAGGTGCAGCTGTGAAGTTGTGTATATGTATGCTAACGTGACGTGGTGTGTGCGTGGATGTGGGTGGGTGGGTGGGTGGGGGGTGGGGGCGCCCAGTGTCATGCGCGCTGAGACCGCTCGGCTGTGAGACCGAGCGCGTAGAGGCGTGTGCTTCTCTCTCGTGTGGGCCGTCGCGTGCTCGGGACGGGAGAGGGTTTGCCGGGCCATAGGAACACCCTAAGTTCTCGTTGGTGTGGCAAACGCAGCCCCCGCTCCGCCCCCCTGTAGCTGTCCTTAGGGGTCGCACGCGGAGCCATTCCGTTGTACTATGTCACCACATGTACAGAAATGGCGTGATCTGAAGTTTTCCTGGAAAAATTCGGAGTGCGGTTCGAGTGGAATGTATACGGAGTTACGTCACGGGTCACGTGTGATGGGTCGCATGTCTTGGGCCCTAATGGTGGGGGTATGAGATGGCTGGCTGTTAAAAAAGTTCAGCCATAGGGTGTGTGAAGGCATAGGCGAGCAACAAGACCACTTGGCTGTTGTGCCAGCCTGTGTGTGTGCGATAGATAACCCGGTAGTGGCGCTGCTCTGCTTTGTTGCGCAAACCGAAACCGAAGCGCAACCGCTTTTTTTTTGTGTCTGTGTGTCTGTGTGTCTCTCTGTCGTGCGTTCTCTCCGAGAACCGCCACCACCACCACATCAAATGGTTACATTACACCACCCCATTAAAACGATGCGCGAGGATACGGCGGGCTGGGGGAGGGCGGGAGGGCCCCGCAGTTCGGGGACGTGGCGTCCTGTGCACGGACACATGTTGTTTTGAGATGTGACACTTGAACTTAATGAGTGGCTCTTTTGATAATGGCCTTGAAATTCCTTTTTTGAGAACGCTATTCATTTTAGAAATATACGGGGGGGCGTTAAACCGACAGACCGAAAATAACGGTCGCATCGAAAGGTTGTGCCACGTGCTCTGCGCTGGATGGTTTATACCATCCACCCCCCCGAGCCTTTGTGCACAGAGCTCTGCAGTATGGGGGCTGACGTGTGCAGCCGACAAGTTGGCGGGGTAAGGTAAAAACGTGTGGGGCGCGCGGCGCGCCGCGCGGAAGAATGTTGTGTGTAGGGTTTGGCTACGAAGCGATATTCTGGTGGTGTGGGGGTGATGGTGGTGGTGGTGGTGCTGCTGCTGCTTCGGCGATGTTGTTGATTTTTCGCTTACAGTAGCGGCGCTGTTGCTCTATTGCTGGTGCTCTATGGCTGCAACAGCTGCGGCGGCGAGATCGGCCTCGTCAGCTCCTTGAGCGGGCTCCCGGGCCCCCGGGGGCCCCCAAGCACCTCAGCAACCCAAAGCGCTACAATTCGTGCGGCCCCTTTCCTTCCTGCGCAACACAACACCGCCGGCGCCGGCGCTGTCTTGGGGCGCCGGCGCAAGCTCTCGCGGTGCGGTTCTTCTCCACACTACCACCAATCCGTATTTCATAGATTTTTAAAAACAGTTACCGTAAAAAACCTGTATGTAATCCAGGAGGATTTCAGGTGTGGGGTTTAGCGCCGCATACTCCTGTCCAGCGGAACGGATGGCTTTTTTTTTAGAAAAAAAGGTATGGATGGCTGCTGTATCTTTCTGGCTTGTATGGCTTAGCTGGCTGGCAGCCGATTCCGCGGCAGGCGGCGCTCTTTGCGTCGCGACTACCTACGTAGCATTATTTGATAACGTGGTAAAACGTTTGATTTCGGCTTATTTAAACACGCGCTCCGAGCGAGGCACTGGGCCATGTCTCGCCTTGCCTTGCCGAGCTGAGATGAACCGAGCTGAGATGAACCGGCCGCACACCCCCACCTGCGGACGGGCAACCCGCAGTCGGTCATCCTGGTAATGTTCAATTTTGAATTTAGCTGTCGTGGTGGTAGTCGTCGTCGTCGTAGTAGTAGTAATAATAGTAGCAGGAGTATGAGGGGTAGTAGGTGTTAGTATTGTGCATTTGTGACACCCCGCAGTGCCCGTCTGCATCTGCAATGCTTCGTCTGAATTTCTCCGAATTGCACGGCTGTACAATGAATCCCACGAGTATTTGCCCGGGCGCTTAATTGGTGTTTTGTGGAGGTGATGAGTGTGGAGGTGTGGACATTCATGTGCAGGCATATGCGGTGTTGCTTTACAGCCGCTTTCTGGGTGTCTTTAACTTCCCCCTTTTCCTTCTCCCGCGAACTAAACTTTGCACGGTGGCAGCTGTTCGGGAAGTGGGTCCTTTTCAATGAATTGGCGAACTGCGGCCTGGTGGTGTCTTTTCGCGCCGTGCACTGTTCGGGGCGCGGGCAGGCGGGTGGTGGGATGTTGTGGCTTGGTGACATTCATGTGCACGTAGTGGTTGAGATGCGGCCTGGGTCTTGAGCCGTTGTGGCTGCCTCTGCCCGCTGACAAGCGTTTTCCTGTTTTTGTGTGTGAAAATGTTACAAGTTTATGGTCGGGCCTGACGATACAGGCCAGGGGCTGCTGGGACACAGCCCCAACGGAAAGATTGCCTAAGCTCTCCGCCGCGGACGGGAGAGGGGCGCGAGAGGGGCCTCTGTCCCCTGTTAAGCCGCCGAGAGCCGCAGGTCCGCTAGTTCCGCGCTCCTCCCCCCCCCCCCGGGGGTGGGTGAGGCGTCGCTCGTGCGCATGCTCTCACGAGTCAAGGCTCCGAGTCAAGGCTCGCGTCAGTTTGCGCACTGAGCCCGAAACGCGAAACAGGACTCCTTCCATCCCCGGCCTGATCCGGCTCTTGGGGTGTGTATGCATGTTTGTGTGTGTGTTATCATTACCACCACCATGTTGACGAAAGGTCCCGACGTATCTGCGATTCCGCTCAAATCTGTACTCCTTCAGGCCCTCCGGCTGCTGGTCCGCTGCTGGTCCTACTGTTGATGCTTTCGCTGCTTACACTGTTGCTGCTGCGCAGGTCCGCTTTTTTGTAACACTTAAACTTTTTACGTGCTCGGCTCGTATGTTGACAAATATTAGCTACACTACGGTTGTTTCATTCTGCGCTCTCGCTCGCTGCGAGCGCGCATTGCCGGCTGCTGGAATCATTGCAAGGTTCGGTTGCCAGATGTGGTGTGGTGTGGTGTGGTGGTTGGGAGTGTAGATTTTACCTTCGGGCGCCCCACCCCGACTGGCGCTCGGTTTCGTTGGAGAGACGGCGGCCGCATGAAACCCCGAGGGCGCGCTTCTTTCCCGTCCCGTCCCTTCCTTCCGTTTCCCCCGCCCCTATCCTTACCTTACGGCTTTCCTCCTGTTGGACGTGCGATATCTTGTCTGGCAGTACAGTACGATGTGATTGTACGATGTGGTGTACGGCCGCGGTGTAGCCTACGTACGGGCCCTACGTACACTTTGGCCACCTTCATTGGTTTATGTCTTGTGCGAAGGTAAGGAAATGATTAGTACTGATCTAGTAAATTGTTTATTAAATGCCTTCTATCCCTGGAGGCGACGACGGCTGTACATGATTCGTACAGAGTCATGTATGACACTGTATTCGAACGCGCGAGCAGAGAAAGTGCCAGAAGGCGTACGTACGGCTTTTGCCGCCCCCTGCGAACATATACAACAACTCTGGGGCTCTCGTGCATGGAAGTCCTCTGTGAAGTCGTCCTCCAACATTTCAGGGCTTGTTGGCGAGCAGTCTGCAGCTTCTTGATCGTTCTCTGAGAGGCCGTGCTAGGGTTGCGTGCAACCGTTGTCAAACTGATCCGAACACGCGGTCTCGATAGAGCCTAAACTGAATTTTAATATGTTGGGTGCGGAAACAACGATGTACGGATGTACGACAACCTACTGCCTAAAACACTCATGGAGGATTCTCATTCCGAAGCGTTTTTGGCCGAGGCCTCTTTTGTATAAATCCCGGTGCAACCTGGACACATGTTTGTGTCCAGCACACAGCTCTCAGCAGGAGATTTTTTAAGGAGGCATAAGCGGACAAGTCGCGCAGATCTTACGACTTATCCGAAAAAAAAGAGTGAGGGCTGACTGAACTGAACTGAGATTGACATTATTCCACAGCAGTAGCCCCCGGGGGCCCGCGCGGAGCCCCCGGGGTATTCACTTTGCTGTCAGTCAGTCAGCGTCCGGAACAGCAGCAGAATGCGATTACTACAGAGAACCCCAAACGGGTCGAATACAACGCTCCTAAGTACGCCTCCCGCACAACACTGTCGGCCTTTTTCAAGCAGAACTCCGCCAGGCCGTAGTAACTTTAAATTATAGTATCTATAGTACGCTCAGGCAAACAAAAAAGTACAGGCTCCGACTGAGCCTTCAGACCTCCTCATTGTATTCCGATAAGCGGCAAACGACTTTGTTTGCATCGTTCGTTGACTGGCGAGAAAGAGTATAATATTTCAGGCACGTGCTTCCACAGTTTTGGCGGGATATCCCGTGTTGCAAAAGCAGTTAAACGGGCCCAAAAATCGGAGATGGCACCGTAACCACTGCGGGTGGGAGCGGATGTAGGCAGGCCCGTGTTGGCCTGAAGTCCTTCCCTGAACAACAAACCGCGACCGAGATTGAGCGATTGAGCTGATTGCCGCGAGACTTATCACCTCCCACACACACCTATGAATGGCGGGCGGCGGGGTGCCCAACAACAAGTCTGGAAGCACAAGTTCGTTCTGCAGAGCCTCACGATATCTATTGCGATAACACAGTCCCAAAAGTGATGCTGCCGGTCCCCACACAAACCATGTGCGCACCACACGGACACATTACAGTAAGATCTCCTCTCTGACGCTGGGCGCTATGCGTAGGAAATGCAGGGGAACCATCAAGTGCTAGCCGCCAAAGGACTCCCTTATGTTTACAATCCCATAGCAGCAGGCCGCGCCCTTGTGAACTCGTTGGTACATGACCCAACCATTTGGTGACTGCCGAAGACATGATCAATATTCATTTAGTTATATGGGACAAACATGAAGATTTAACATTTCTAAGTTTTTTCATATGTTCTCGAGGTGGGTGATACACCGGTCCCCATAGGTTGAAGTAAGGGCACCATGATGGAGGGCAGTTTATAATGTCCCTTGTTTATAATGTCCCTTGTACTTTCAAAATATCTTCCGCATAACATGATTGCGAGCGCCAGAGTCTATGTAATTGTGAAATAGGTACCATGACTTTGCGTCGTTCGCACTGGCCGTTGTGACAGTTAGGTGGAGACTATTCTGAAAAGCATAAATCCCTGACTAAATTGCGAGCGTGCTTACTATACAATTTAACATCCTTCATATATGGATGTCATAAAGGCTTAGCTTTATTGTATGGGTCGCTTTGCCAACGGCCTTGACTAGCATCATTAGTTTCCCGAGACACCCGCTGCGCCACCTACCTAATCATGATACAGCGGATATCTCTATTGTGGTTAATAGCAACGCTTACCTGGTAAGCGGCATGTGCGTTCTTTCCTGGCTTCTGACTACAGGCGACTACTGCCCAGAATCAAAATCCCTAAACCCACACATTTTTGCACAGCATTGAGGGAATAAAACAATATTTGAAGTCGTTCCATTATGTATCAGGCAACAAAATAATCTGGGTCAGAATAGGCTGGGTCGCCTATCCATAGCGCGCATGGTTCCCCGTGTACTCCGCACAGGAGAATGACTGGCGTATTTGCCGAAATCGGCTCTGGGGAGAATTTATATGATTATCAAACGGGAGATCTTCTGGGCTTTCCCTACTGCCGATGCGAACGGGGCCAGTCGGCGTATAGCTTGGCGCCAACTGTGGTGTCAAAGGGCGGCGGCCAGTACTGCTTCAAGGTCATTGTGAAGAATTGCAGCGCAAACTGCTGCAAGGTTGACCTTAAGAAGATTGAGGTAAGGTCCAGTGATGGGAACCGTATTGATGCAAACGCCGCATGGAGTCTGGTTGTGCGCCGAGCTTGGATTCCATTCCAAGATACAACAAAGCCATTCTTAAATACAAAACGTTTGTGGACCCGATTTTTCCCCATGCTGCATTATGCCTCCAAATCGCCGTCGGCATGTACAAATCCACCGATCGAAAATTCGAAGCTTGCTTCTTTGGTGCCTTTAGGTGCTGAGGAAACTAGGAAACTACAAATTATTCCTTATCTACCTGTTTTATCTACAAGTTATTCCTTATCTACCGACCTTACCGCAGTTCAACGTTAACGCTGCCTGCCTCGTGAAGAGCGCCATTGTCAGGGCCACCGTCAACGGCAACCTAACCGCCGTAGGGCCCAACTTCTACAAACCCCTCGACAGCCCCCCTGGTAGCGCTATCCTGCGGCTCACCAGCCTCGGCCTAGGGCTGGGCAGCAACGGCACCGAGATTTGCCTAACCCTGAAGGCAGGCGTAAACAGCACGGGCTGCGACACGCTCGAGGAGCTCTGCATTCCTCCTCCTGGCGCCAACCCTGGAGTATGCCAGGTGGCGATGTTCAACAACAACAACAGTACCGGGGCATGCTGTCCCCAGTCGACGCCCGGACTGCCCAAGCCACAACCGCCAAGCCCCCCACAGCTCTCTCCGAAACCATCTTCGCCTCCACCACCTGCCTCCACTACGCCCCCCGACCACAAAACGCCACCAAATGCCGTACCGCCACAACCTCTCCCCGGATCGCTCGTACCGATGGCCGCTCCGAAGCCGTTGAGCTCAAACATTCCTCCCTCTCCATCCCAGCAACACACACCAACTCCGGAGCCGCATCAAAAACCGCCCAGAATGTCACCCTCGCCGTCACCCAAGCCACCTGCCACGCAGCCGCCCCCAGCCTTTCCTCTTTCCCCACCACCGCTTTCGCCTTCTCCTTCGTCCCCCGAATCGCCGCTTGCGCCCTCCCCATCTGCTCCACTATTGCCCTCAGCATTTCAACAAGTACAGCCCCCTTCGTCGTCTCTTCCGTTTACCCCTCCACCATCATCAGCCTCCCCAATATACCCTCCATCATCCACAACCTTGCCGCCTTCGCAGTTACCTGTTTCGCATTCTCCTCCTCCTTCCCAGCCACTACCACCACCTCCTAATACTCCACTATCCCCTCCGTCAACACCTTCAACACCTCCGCCTTTACAGTCCCCTTCGCCTTCTCTTCCTTCTTCCCAGCCATCACCAATCCCCTCCCCAGTGTATCCTCCACCCCCCTCCTCCCCTCCACCTTCGCACCCTCTCCTGCCTTCTGCATCTTCAACCCAGCCACCACCATCATCGCCCTCCCCTCTGCTGCCCTCAACGCCTCCACCTTTGCAGCCTGCCTCTCCTTCGTCTCGATTTCCACTGTCATCCTCGTCCCCGCCACCTTCACACCCTCTTTCCCCACCACCACTATCACCCCTGTCACCTTCAACACCGCCTCCTTCACAGCCCCTCTCCCCTTCTCCCTCACCTATCAATCCGCCACCATCTACCTCATCCGGATTACCTCCACCACTCCCAACTCCGCCTCCTTCGCCTCGACCGCCGTCTCCCACACCACCTTCGCCTCAGCCACCCTCGCGACCTCCGCCTTCCCCTCAACCGCCACCCTCTTCCGTCGCACCATCGATCGTACGACCATCACCCTGGTCGCCTTCTCCAAACCCTCCCTCCCCCAAGCCCTCCCTCCCCTTATCGTCACCCAACCCGCCTTCTCCTCCTCCCCCCTCCCCCCCACCACCGATCCCACTACGAAACCCGCCGCCTCCACCAGCCAGACCTTCTCCACCCCAGCCTCCTCCGCCATGCAGCCTCTGCATCCACATCAGATTGGTATCTCCCATAATCGACTTTCCGACCTTCCGGTTCAACAATGCCACTTGCCAGCAGCTGCAGAAGACCGTGGCTGGGCCCATGAACACCCAGTTCACGGCCCTCAATGTGACGGTCCTCAAGCCCTTCGCCGCAGACCCCCAACTGTGTTCATCAGTTGAAACTCAGATCTGCACATCCGTGGTCTGCCCGCCTGACGATGTCCAGCAGCGACTTCAATCAGTCCTCCAGAACGAGTTGGACTTGGGGGTTGGGTTGCTGTCTGGGAGCGTCTGTCCGGCTTCTTCAGGCTACACCATTCGGGCCCTGAGTGGGACACAAGACTTCTTGAACCTGCGGACGATCTCCAACTGCAAGCCCGGCCCGGATCCTTTCCCTGGTTGCAGGTGAATTAGTTAGTTGGTTACGTGGTTAGTTGGGTGGTTGGGTGGTTACGTGTGAAGTTAGTTGGGTGGTTGTTACATGCAGTGGTGCCTGCTGGGCGCCGCCGAGCCACTTCATTCCTCGGCCTCTTTCCCCCCTTGTCGTCGCACACACAGTGTGCCGTCCGATTGCTGAGACGTGAGAGCTCTCACGACCAGCAGGCACAGCCCACTTCCGCACACGCGCGCACATATATAAGACGCAAAAAGTAACGCATTGATATACGCAAGACCCACGCATTCACATTATCATGCACGCACATACACATACACATACACATACACATACACATACACATACACATACACATACACATACACATACACATACACATACACATACACATACACATACACATACACATACACATACACATACACATACACATACACACACACATACACATACACATACACATACACATACACATACACATACACATACACATACACATACACATACACATACACATACACATACACATACACATACACATACATTCAGTTTAGGAAACTTAAAACACATTGTGCGCACCACCCGCAGGTGCGACAAGAGACAGGGCATCATACCGCTCTACGTGATGCCCACGGTGGAGTCGCTCCCGGGGCGGACCTCCGCCACCATTCTGCACTGCTTCCGACTCGGCATGGTGCCACCACTCTTCAGAACCCCGGTGGGTCTGTATGTATGTATGTATGTATGTATGTATGTATGTATGTATGTATGTATGTATGTATGTATGTATGTATGTATGTATGTATGTTGTTACAGGGTGGTTAACTTCGCCAGCGGCCCCTTTCCCGGGCAGTCCCTGCTCTCCCCTGCTAGAGGGGCACCCTAATCCGTCACCCCATCCGACTTCAGAATGTATGTATGAATGTATGTATGTATGTATCTATCTATGTATGTATGCATGTGTGTATGTATGGCCCGGTCCCGTCTGTATGCATGCTTGTACGAATCGGCATATGTCATATGTACGATTTGGCATGCCACAATGTGTAAGACTCTGTAATGTCGTAGGATTTTGGCCTTGAATGCCTTAAATTGAGTTGTAAACGATTACATCTGGTCGCCAGTATTTTCCCCTTTTCTAGTATTCATCAGTATCACTTCGATATACAGGAAATGCTAGAAGCCCACCACACCGTACCTACTTAATCGCCCGTCCCCGCAAACACACCTCAATGGCCAATTATCCAATTTTCAAACCAACACCGTCTTGTTGCCGTACGTATGAGGCCCCGTACTTCCGTACGATTTTCTCTATTTGTTTGCTTTGTAGAGCTCCTGTGGCGGCAACACGCTGAACAAGGCAGAGTTCTGGGCGGGTAGGTTTAAGCTCTTCATGTCTTGCTGTATATTGCTGTATACATGTATGTACTTTAATTGAATCTATGTGGAATATATGTGGAACATTCCAATGTTCGTATCATGACCCCCCTGTCCCACACATCATACATACATACATACACACACACCGCCGCCGCCGCCCACAACGCTCGCTGCCGTACGTCGCCGCTGCAGATGAGAGCAATCGCCGCATGATCACGGGCTTCCGCCTCACGCCCCGGGGTGGCAGTCCGCGCTTCATCTCCGTCTCCTGGGCAGCCCCCGACGACAACACCGTAAAGGGTGAGGAGCCAAGCCCGATGCGATCGTTTGTCCGGGCGGGGGAAGAAGAAAGAAAGATGGATAGATAGATAGATAGATAGATAGATAGATAGATAGATAGATAGATAGATAGATAGATAGATAGATAGATAGATAGATACCGCAAGAAAGATACGCAAGATAGATATATATATAGAGATGATGTTGTGTGTAGAGTGATTGGCGCTCATCACGCACCCACTGGCACAAGCACTGGATGAGATCGCGAGACGCCATCATACCTTGAAAACACCGCCATGGAAGTGGTTGGAATTCGGTACAAGCGGGAAATGCGGCAGATAGCAAGCCAGGTGCGGAGTTATTAAAATTAGATCGAAACATATATGAGTAACAGATAGCGGTGTGTGTGTGCAAAAAGAAGGACCAAAAGAGAACAGCAACGCGATTTTGCATGCTCTTCTGGATCCTATATATCGCCGCATCAGGAGCCTAATTAGGCGTGAGCCTAATAAAAATAGAGCCACACACACACATACACACACACACGCACACACACACACATACAGATTTCTGCTAATCCTCGATCAATCCTGTGCGTCCTGTCCTGTATATATATGGCCTGCTGCATGCGGGCTCCCGCTGCGGCCGGGCCTCGTGTGTTTTACTCCTCGTCGCCATCAGCCTTCCCTTTTCCCTTTTCCCTTCCCTGTATTTATTCCTCGCTTATATAATGTCCCTGCCAACCATGACCCTGTGAATCTGCAATCAAATTGCAACGGGACCTGGGGCATTGGAATGCGCCCCATCATCAACGGCGGCACCTGTGTGCTCACCATCCGTGGACTCACCAGCCACTATGATCAACTGGAACTACGTGCAGCAGGCGGACGGGGGGGAGATCTGCATGGAGCTCCGCAAGGAGATGCCGCTGAGCGACTTCTGCCTGGGAGGCGGCTCGGGATGGTGAGTGATGGTTGAGGTTGAGGTTGAGGTGACCCCGCGGGCCCCGCTGGCATGCTCGTGTTTTGTTTGAGCAGAAAGTTGCTCGTGTGCGTGTGTGTGTATGTATGTCTGCATGCGTGCATTTGTAGGTGTGCGTCCGTCCGCGTGTACCGGTGGGATTCCCTTGAAGGATTTAGGATTTAGTTCAAACTTGTTAGGAGACACGTGTACAACAGCAACATCTAGCTATCTAGCTATACAACTATCTAGCTGGTAATGTTTAAAGTTGTTATTGTTAGCGTTGCGCTGCAGTCCGAAGGGAGGCATGTCACGACGTGATATACACACAGCTTGTGCCGTGTCGTCATATAGCCGTCCTGGTGTTTGGCTGGGGAAGTCTTAGGGGAGTCCAGAAGCATAAGCTCTGTCTGCTGTGGACGGACAAGGCGGTGGTGTGTGGTGACGGATGAGAGATGCGTTTCCTCATATTTGTTAGCTGGACTGACTGACTGACTGACTGACTGACTGACTGACTGACTGACTGACTGACTGACTGACTGACTGACTGACTGACTGACTGACTGACTGACTGACTGACTGACTGACTGACTGACCGACCGCATGTGTCTACATCCTTATTACCCACTACTTACACCCACACCCATGTTCTGCTGCTCCCGCCTGCCGTACACGCCTATGTATGCCACGTGTGCCGTTGTACGACGACCCCGTCGTACGTGGTGATGACAGTTCCGTGGCTCTCTTCAATGAGCAGCGAGACTGCTGCCCAACGTTCGGCGCCGCCCCCTTCCTCACGAACCCTTAAGATGGAGGGGAAAATCCCTCTCTATAATTTGGCTGTTGTAGACGTGCATACGTACATGCATAGATACGTAATATGATATAGACGTGTACATGCATAAATACGTACATAGGTACATACAGATTTACGTGCTCATTGAAGATAAAGCACATATAGCGAGACGCTGAAGTTGATAACAAGGGCATGGGGCAGGAGGCGATGGGCGGGGTGATATAATTGAATAGTCTTTTTTTATGTCAGCCGCGATGGTGGTGGTAGGATAGGGCTACACCTGCCGCTGCGCGCCCAGCCCCCACTCGCTGCACCCGCCTCCTCTCTCTTTTTAAGGGGTCCTCTCTTTCCTTCCCCCCATAACGGGAGCTGGAGGGGTAGGCAGATATATACATTACGAAGATGCGAAAATCACGTTCGTGCGTGTGTTCGGTTAAGACGCGGTTGTTTCGTTCTGTTGTTAGTTGCCTCTTAAGTCAGTTATAAATAGCAGCGATGGAGATATTTATATAGCAGATCGTTGATTTTTATAGCTGTGAGTAAACTGCTGTTATAGATCATGACGCGGAGTAGTCAACGGAAAAAGGTGTCCGGATTCGGTTTGGCTGTTATTATTAGGACATCTGTGCGTGTGGTTGTGTGATTGTGTGTGTAATTGTGTGTGAGATTGTGTGTGTGTGATTGTGATTGTGCGTGTGTGTGTGTGTGTGTGTGTGTGCGCATGTGTGATTGTGCGTGTGTGTGCATGTGTGATTGTGCGTGTGTGTGTGTGTGTGTGTGTGTGTGTGTGTGTGCGCATGTGTGTGTGTGTGTGTGTGTTACATATTGATCCGGGGCTGACGCTGTTTTTGTAGTTTTCAGTGCAACGCTGAGGTGGACTGAGGGGGAGTCCACGTAGGAGCTTCCAGGAGTGCTCAAATCGGTCACTTCGTTGATTTAACGGTTGGTGAGCTAGGTGTGATGATTCTCAGTGTACGACTAAGTTTTCCGATGTTATAAAACTGCCGCCACGCGAGGAATTGTAGGTGCCGGCCGCGTGTATGTATGCGTGTGTGGCTGTTAGTGTTTGCGAATGTTATAATGATATCGCTTGATTAAGCTATAGCGGATGCGCTACCATGCCCCGCCGGAGCCTTCACCACGTCCTAATTAGGACGCTGGAAATATTCGGTAGCTAGGGGGAGAAACGGAAGATGTTCACTGCTGGCTGAATGACCTGTTCTGTTTGGCAGCCTCGCTTGGCGTCATGATATATGTCCGCCTGTGTATGTGGAGTGTCTCTGTGCGTCTCAGCTCAGCTCATGCATGATATGCTTTAATGGCCAAACTAGTTGCGGTTGGCGGTTAAATCGTTGATGGTTGATTGCATTATGAGGACATTCGATTGATAACCTCCTCGAAACGATCGATACTCTGTAGCTCTGTATGCATATATTGGCAAATGGTAATTCAACTAGTTTGCACATGCAGCGCCTCGGGCTGGTGTTATTAGTTATTGACTGCTGGTGGTTGCATGCGGACAACACATCCGCCATGGACTCGTCCGCGTGATGGACATCCTGTAACACCATTTATTGGTCCCCAGCACAGCTTCGTTTGCCACTGGATGTCACGGTCTGTGCTCGCACAGATCTGCACAATGTACAGGAATCCTGTATTAAACATCTAAAAATTCGTTCGTACATCCCGAGCCTTGACGTGCACTAGCTGTGTGACACGTGAGGTGCAATAAATCGCTATATGTACTCGATTGGAAATCGTTGGAAGGCGACTGTTAATCGCAGGAGGATCGATCTCGGTAGAGGAGCAACAAAGTGGTTACGAAGTGCAATTGCTGAACCATTTCCGCCGCTGGGAAGATAAGACGGGTAAGTTTCAGTCGTACTACTTGAGGGCTTAGGAGATCTCTCTCCCTCTCTCTTTTGCTGTAGAGATGAATAACAAGGAAACAGCAGGCAGCAGATAGAATGCTAATTTTAGTAGAAACGCGCGCTGAATAAGCTCTGGCTGACTGTTACATCACGACTTCAGAAAAGTACCGATCGACGGAGGCCGATCCCCAGAATACTACACTAACTCTGAACAAACTCTGAATGCGCTATTATTTTACATTATAATTATTTAAGCGCAAGCGAACGGAGCCCCTGCAGCAGCAAACCAACACCTGCACCGACAGACGTTCTCGCACTGCTCGCGCGTTAAGTCTACCAGATAGAACTCGTACGCCGGCACCCAACTACCTACATATCCGCATGGACAAAAATCCGCAGTACTTCGCACGCGACAATTTTATAATTCAATATACATATCGCAATAATAATTCTGATAACACGCCAAATCTTGCGGAAAACGCTTCTTGCTTCTACAGTCTCCTAGTAGCTGCTTGCTGCTGCTGCTGCTGCTGCTGCTGCTGCTGCTGCTGCTGCTGCTGCTGCTGCTGCTGCTGCTCCTGCTAATGGACGTCAAGGCAGAGCAATATTCCTGAGATGTTAAGTTGCCTGCCGCCGTCTCTATGTTGCTGTCCTGCAGTTCCTAGCAGGAGTCCTTATCCATCTTGAGGGTGAAAAGGTAGGTGGAGCGGGAAGCCACCGTCATGTCAATTTGCCCGGTGGCGCCGGTGAAGTTGCCAGTGCCCCCCACGATGGGGAACGTGCAGGTAATGTCCTGTAGAAAAGAACGGAAGAAAGGGCGGAAGAAAGGGCGGAAGCGATTGACAAGGCAGGGACAGACGCACACGCGCACACACATTTTCACTCAAACAGACGCAAAAAACACAAAGACACCTGTAACAACATACATACAAAGACACCGAAGCACACATACACATGCACATGCGCATGCACATGCGCGCACGTACAGGCATGCTCCAGAACCTTCCTCTCGCGGCTCAGTTTGTTACAATACATTATACAAAGATACATACACACATACGCACCAGCTTGTCGACCCAGACGCCCTGTACTGCGATCTGGCCATGTGGAAGCATGATCACGAAGCTAGTCGAGGAGACGATGTAGCGATCAGGCTCCTCGTAGATGTCGGAATTCGCGATCGCCAGCACCGTACCATGGCCGTACATGCTGCCAAGCTGCATGAAAGGGCGTTTCAAGGTGTCCAGGTTACCGTGGGAACCATGTCAGGCTCAGCGAAATGCACCGATGCTTTATAGAGGTAACTGAAGCCTAGCGCCCGAGCGAACAGATAAAACGTGCACGCCCGGGTCGGACTTGCAACTCCGTATCTGACCACTAACGACGGACAACTGAAACCTGACAGCCGCCCAAAAAACGGTTGAAATGATAAAAATGAATATAAAAATAGGAGCAATAAATAACATCAACCAATAGAAATGCTAAATGTCGCGGCCGAAGCAACGGATTTGACGTCGACATAATCCATTTGCGAGGCCCGGGGCTCCGTTCACGCACGTCTGTTTGTGGATTGCCGCATTATATTTTATTGGCCGAGGACTGTTCCCTTGCTACTACAACACAACCTTCCCTCCCTTAGACATAAACTAGTGACGAGTCGTATCTTCGGAGGCTATCTACGAGTAAGTTTCACGACGGACCCCACGGCGGTTGGATACAAGTTTCCCCACCCGCACTTTGCCACCTACTCTTTCATTATTTGAAGTCAGGAAAAGTCCGAGATTGAAGGAGAAAGGACTGCCGCGATCCAGCTCGCCAGGTAGCTGGTGCAAGGGGGCAAAAGGGGCAGCAGAGGTTGACAAACATTTGTGAGCGTGATGTGGACATGTGATCATGTTAAAATTATTTGATTTTGCTGCTCAGGTGGCATTGGTTTGCAGCCGGTAGTAGGCGAAGCGACAATCCGAAGCAAAGGACAGGGGCCTTGGGCCCCGGACTCACGCGAGCATAAAGAAAGTTATCGCTGTCCTTCCTGCCAGTTATGTTAAAAACGGTTCTGCAGATTTCTGGCTTTGGCGGTGGTGGCGAGGGATTGGCGTCTGGCGCGTCCGGTGAAGGCGGAGGCTTTGAAGGTGAAGGTGAAGGCTCAGGCTCGGTGTCAGCTGAACAGCCGCAGCCCAAGAGAATCATCCCCAGAAGGAATGTAGAGATTATCTTAGCTTGAGCCATGGATATGAATATTGATTACCTTTACTCGGTGAGTCTGTGGAAGTTGGGCCTGCTTGCTGAGGTGCTCATATAGCATTTGTCAGCAGTACGGCAGTCCGCTCGTCTAGCCACGTAGTTGCAAGCTGTTTCCGGGACATTTTTCGTATTCATAAGATCTCAATAATTTTATAATTAGTTTTTCTTAGTCGCATGAGAGCGAGCAGCTGGATATGAGGAAGGCCAGTTTAGTAATGGAGTCTGTCGCAAGCAAACATCCGGCACATGGAAAGCATTTGGACACTATATGCACCTTAGAGACTTTGAATTATGCTCGACACTACCTGTTCGCGTTACGCGCTCAATTCGCGATGGAAAGCTGTTAAAACCTTGCCTGCATAAACAAGCTTAGGAAGGGATTTCATATTTTTCATAAACAGGATGCTAAGGAGCTTCTGGTACTCCACAGTGCTCTGCAGTCGGCGGAGTGATATGATTAATCGCCCATAAGGCGTTTAACACCTAGAGAATAAAGATCTGATAAGCACACATGGGCAACGTCATCTAGGATACATACAAGGGTTTCGCATTACTGGTAACGCGCGACCATTGCCCCCGGGAGATCCCGGGATTGAGACCTGTCAGGGTCGATATTCCTTCCAATGGTGGAAGGTATTACCCCCTAATTGATGGTCGGTGGTGACCTGGGATAAAGTTAACCTGCGAGCCGACCAGGAGTGGAGTTGGGCCGCTGTCGACCCGGCCGATTCCGTTGGATGCTGATGGTGGGTGCGGAACCTGAGCGATCCACTGAGAAGTTGACTAGGGTGACTGGATGAGGGTGTCCCAAAATACTGGAGAAGGCAGGGTTTCGCAGGGTAGCTGCCACGGGTGAAGATATACCCCCCTGTTCCACACATCAGTGGGAGCGTGCGAAGGATGGCACAGCACGCACAGGGTCCTGCGTCGATTCTTTTTTTGCGTCGAAATCCTCAAAAGAAACTCCGCATCGATGAATTCTTACGTGGGCTTGCAGATGGAATGAATCCTAACATGAAGACCGGTTCGCAGCTACACCGATCGAACGATGAGCGAAAGATGGCGGCCATGCCAACTGCTCGGCATGGAATGCCTACGCTGCCGCGTGAAACCGCCTGTGCAGCTTCCAGCTCACCATGCGGGACGCCGTGTCGAAAAGCGAACATGGGGGACCCTACGGACTACGAGCACCGAAGGAATAGCTTTCTTACACGCACCTGCAAATGTTGTGAGTGTGCCGGTGCACGTAAGATGATAGACATCCTGCCATTTCTGCACCGATCCATACGACAAACCACGACCAACTCTTGGCCTTCTTCTACTGTCGTTCTGTTGCGAACTATTGTTTCGATGTTTGCTGTAATTTTTTTATGTGTTTCGATGTTTTAATCATCAGTTTACTTCAATTCATGGTTTGTTTCATAGTCACCAGTTCTCAAAATGCGCGCCGCTAACGAAAGCGGCACCAAATAAGAAAGTTCAAAAGCGATACCAGTGCGCACGCAGGGCACAATGCTTTCCTTACGCCATGCTTTCCATGCGTTCACAGGTAGGGTAGGGGGAGCCGCCGCCACTGCCGTCGTAACACATATACACATACATACACACGCACGCACATCGCCCCGCTCCTGGCCGCTCTCTTACACATCCGCCCAGCACATGCAGCTGCGCGCAGACCTCACTTCGCATGTATTTGTACGCGAAATTTACTTCTGAAGCCCTGCATCTACCTCCAACCCCCATCTCCGCCTGTTCCTGTGGCTCCTTCCTCCTCCTCCTCCTCTTCAATACCTACCTCCATATTCCCTACTCAAGTTGCGTGTTATGCTATCACGTACAACTCCTCCACCTCCCACTACTTCTCCCCTTCCTGAGGTGAGTCGCTGCGAGCCCCGGCCTGGCTGCTCCACGCTTGCTGCTGCTCGTCCTGCGGCTGCTCCTGTCGCTACTGCTACTGCTACTGCTGCTCACGTCATAGTCATAGTCATAGCCATTTGTTGTTTATGAACGTCAATTGGTTCAGATGATGACGAAGATGATGATGTTGTTGTCCTCCTTGCTAATCATGGCAATGACCATCTGATGGTGGTGAGAGCTCTGACAACACCTATACCTACCCATCCCCCTGCAGGCACCTGCAACCACCCACCTACCCACCCACCTAACCCCCCCGCCCGCCCCCCGCCCCCCGAACCCTCCATCAGAAACGCCTAGCTAACAAACTGACAACTTGACACACGTCCATGACTGGCCTTCAATTCAATAGCTGGACACCGCCTCTCAAAGCGTAGGGGCCGGCGGCCCTACTGCTGCTACAACTACTGCTACCTACTACATTAGTTCCCCCTTCTCCGTGCTCCTTTCCTGTCTCTTCCCTCCTCCTCCCCCTCCTCGTCCTCCTCCTCCCCCTCCAACGCCTTGTCCCCTCTTCCTCCTCTTCCTCAAGCGGATACATCCATGTCATCGGCACACCCACCGCCAAGCCCACCGCGGCCCACCCCATCCACATCCGTAGCAAAACCACGCGGTTCCAAAAGCAAGCCCCCAGTCCTAGCCCTAGCCCCGGCAGTAGCAGTGGCCGCCGCCGCAGCGGCGGCAGCAGTAGCGCTAGAGGTGGCAGCGACGTAGTCCCAGCTCAGGCCGTCGGGGGCCCGCTCGTGGAAGCTCAGCCCCGGGGGGTGCAGGTGCCGCAGACGTTCTAAAACTGTGCTGCGAATCTGGACATGGAGGCGGACATGGAGGGGAGGGGTTAGAGGGGTCGGAAAGACGAACCACACACGATTGAAGCTGCTGCCAGGGCAAGAGTGTATCAAACGTATTAGGGGGGCGGGGGGACGGAGGGACGGCGTGAGGGAGGGCGGGAGCGAGGGAGAGGGGGGAAAGACGAACCACAAACGAGTGAAGCTGGGAGAGGGGGCCGTAATGGCTCTCCTGTGTTTGGCTCTTGAAGTACCTGAGACCATAAACGTCCCCACTAGGCCAAAATGGACGAGTGATGCGCGAGCGATGCGACAAAGGACAGCGAGAAGAAGAAGATCGGTACCGTTAGAACAACAACCCAGATAAGGACATGCACATACACAGCGCTTAGGACTTAGGATACAACAGGTGGCTGCCCGCTTGGCTGCCCTCCCCCTTCCCACGCCTCCCCCTCTGCTCCTCCCCCTCTCCTCCTAGAAATACACACGCGCACATAGACATGCACATACAATACACACACAAACGCGCGCACGCGCGCGCGGGGGAGCGGGGCGCTGTCCAGCAGCACCTTGTCCAGCGCCTCCTTCTTGTTCTGGTTGGGTTTCGCCGGCTCCAGGGTGGGCGCCAGGTGGTAGTCGGGCCCAAACACCTCGTAGTAGTCGTTGGGGGGCAGCTCATCCGACATACTGCTCTCAACACCTGGACATGGACACATGGACACATGGACGTGGGGTGATGTGGGGAGGGGGAAGGAAAGAGATGGGAGACCTTGTGGTAATAGTAATAAAATGATGATGATGGCGATGACGATGGCGATGATGATGGCGATGATGATGGCGATGATGATGGCGATGATGATGATGGCGATGATGATGATGGCGATGATGATGATAATGATGCAAAAGGCAAAAATCAGCTGCATGCTTTACGTCTGCACGGGAACGGGTTTCGACGCAATGCCAAACCCGGGCATAAACGCATACATACACACGTGCATGCATCCATCCATACATGCATACATAGGAGGCCACGAAAGGCTGTACGACACAAACCACGTCCCTCCATACCTCGCCACACATAGTTGGCGGTCTTATCCTCTCACTCACCCATCAGCACACCCGTCTCATACGCCCAACACCGGGCCACATTCTGTGGAAGGAAGGTGGTTGGAAGGTGGTTGGAAGGTGGTTGGAAGGTGGGAGGAGGGTTTGAGGCAGGTGTGGTGATAATCGTGGGGAATTTGTGTAGAATGTAGAAGGGTCATTGAATGAGAACGTCTGTGTGTGTGTGTGTGTGTGTGTGTGTGTGTGTGTGTGTGTGTGTGTGTGTGGGTGTGTGTGTGTGTGTGTGTGTGTGTGTGTGTGTGTGTGTGTGTGTGTGTGTGTGTGGGTGTGTGTGTGGGTGGGTGTGTGGGGTG